CAGGCAGTGGGAACTGCTTTTTAATTCCTTTCTTACTGCAACAAGAAATTTCAGGAATCATCTTACAATGTTTTGATTCTTCTAGCAGAACTGCTCTTCCCTGCTACTTCCAGGATAACCAGTGCTCTTAGTCTTGCCTGCTTTTAAAATCTAATCGGAAGAAAAGATAAGACTCCTCCAAGTCATACGGTGGGAGGGTGAAGGAGATCACAGGCTGGAGAAATCATCAGCTGGAGATAGGCACTCCCTAAAGGAGGAGGCTGTTTGACCTCTGGCAACTAAATGGCCTTGGTACAGGTGGAGCTCTGGGAAAGCAGAGTGTAAACTTATAATGTGCCTTACAACAAGTCTTTAGCAGCTGTCTGTAATGTTAATTAACTGGGCAATTAGAGGAGTAATATAGACCACACCTTTTCAGTACACCAGGCAGGGTACTCTGGCACTGCTCTTAACTGTGTGTGCTAGCCAAGATCTAAACACCTTCCTGGCTGCTGCTGCTGGAGTCTTCCCATGCCTCAGTAAGGCAGACAAATAGAGAGCTCTTAGAGAGCTTAGATGGCTGTGTGGAGGCTGAAGGGGCTAGGAGAGGAGAGTCCCTGCCCGGCTGCTCCCTGCTGCCCTCCATGGGGTTGTTGAACCATCCCAAAGTGGCAGGGAGCTCTGGGCATGTAGTCTCTGGGGAGCAGGTAGATTCCCCTGCAGGGACTGTTCCTTCTGGTGCAGAGCTGGATCTTGCTGTAATGGACCTGCTGCTTAGTGTAGGGCGCATGCAGTGATAAGCGGAGGTGGGTGAGCAGAGAAGTGAACTTAATTCCCTTACCCACTCTGAGAAGTCTTCTGTGCTTAAGGCTTGCTATTTGGTCCCTAGCAGGAGGGGAAGGGCATGAGCAGCAGTGGGATGTGAGTTGTCTGTGTGAAGCACTGGCGTGGGGTGAAAGCTAGGCAACGCGGAGGTTTCCTCCTCTGGTGCATTGTCCCCCTCTTCCTAGCCTGTTCTTCTCCACCGGGGTGTGGCTTTCATTGCTGCTTTGTTCTGCAATTTTTCTCTCCTGCAAAAGTGTACTCTCTTCCTTCTACCTTCACAGGTGGATTTCTGGCTTTTTTTTTTTCCCTAGGGCTATACTTTCTTTAGTTGGGTCTCATTGACTTTTCTCCTTTACTTTCTTTTGAGTAACTGCATGTAACTTCTTGTGTCAGCACCCTCTTTAGCTTCACTCCATACTGCCTTGTTATACAGCTGAACTAAAGGTGTTGTGGGTTGCTGTAGACATTGGCTTAGACTCCTGCAGGTGAAGGAAAGCTCCTCTGTCCAGGAGGGAGCCATGGGCTGTGAATGAAGGAGAAACTGAGGAAGAGCAGCCCTGAGGCCAGCTAACACCTGTCAGTTGAGGCTGTTGTGCGGTGCTGCTAACGAACCCAGATTTTCAGAAAGAAACCCTAATGCTGAGCATCAGCACGCTTTGTCCTCGGTGCCTTCGCCCTTTCCTCTGGAAGTGGTGTGTGCTGCCCTGCTGCGTCTGCCAACTCTGCAGCTTTGGAAGCAAAGCCCAGCAGCAGCACCTAATACAGGGCTGCTCAGAATGAACATCCATGCTCAGCTATATCTGAACTTTCCAAAAGCTTTCCTCGTCCTCTGGATCTTGGAGAACAGCACCAGCCTCAAAAGAGCAAACTTGCTTCTTTGCCAGAGTTAAAGAAGTTCTTTAAAAGCTTGGAGGCAACGACTCCTTTCTTGACCAGCTATGCTTATGTGAAACCTCAAATGTGTGGCAGTTGCTATACTACAACCCAGGTGTTCATTAATAAAATATCTGAAAACAATTATCATAAGTGATGCTTTTATTAAATTCCTTATGCTTGTATTACAATGCATCCTGAAGTGGAGAACTATACAGTATGTTACATGTTATAAATATATTTATTTCTGAAAATACATGAATATATTTCATATAATGCTGTAATAAAAAAGAGTGCTAGTTCATTTTAGTTTAAAAGAAAAAAAAACCTATAATGTAAATGGAGCAGGGGGGGAATATCAGTTCACGATGCTATGTCTTAAAACACTTTAAATTCAGTTTGCACTGATTCACATTCCTTACAGTCTCTGTAAAGCTGGAGGGATAATGGATTTTAGTCCCCTGTATTTCTGGAGATATACAGACTATTCACAGAATAATCAAGTTATAAATCTTTCTAGCTTTGGATGAAGCTAGCAAGATACACAGTGAATAACCAAGTTCCCGCAGCAGCAGCTACAACTGAAACATTAAACACAGCACCTATTTCAGGGTCCTAACTTTGAGTCAGCACAGACTGGGGTGTCTGGGGTGTTTTTGGTGGTTTTGGTTGGGTTTTTTTTTTTGAGATACTAAGTAACAGTAACAACCCTTCTGAGTACTTGGAGAACCAGGCCTGGGCTGCTGACTTTGCTCACCCCTGCAAACTACAGCTGCCCTGGGAGAGCACGGCTGGGGTATTTTGAATCTCAGAAGAGATCCCGCTCTGGTTTTGAGGACTCCAAGGGCTCCAGCTGATCCGGGTAAGCAAGGGGGAAGCGTCTGTTACTGAAAGGCTAAGTCTGCTAAGTTGATCCATTCCTGCCAGCTTCTCAAATCTTGGTTCCCAGGCAAGTTTGGGTTGGGGAGGGATTTTTAAACAGCAATTGCTTGACTTGCAATTATATTGTCATTTAGGGAGTAGAATAATCTTTTAATAAGAGGCAAAGCTGGTTTATTTAAATCTTTACTCCATGTGGATTAATTACTGTGCTAGTACCAATAAGAGCTGGTGTGCAGAGACCACTGCAACCATGGGACCTTCAGAAGCATGCGCTGCCTGTCCCTTGAGTCTGGAATCAGTGGACGTGTGGCAATAAGGCAGCCACCAAACACGGTCAGTGTTACGCAGTTGTTAACGTGGCCCAAAAGAGCAGCAGCTTATTAAGGGTGTATGTATTTGAATAACTCTTCTTTGCAGCTCTGCTCTCCCTCTTGCCTTTTCCCAGCAGAGAGAGCACAGGCTGAGCCATACAGCAGCATGACTACCCCACCTACAGCGTCGGGCCCCCACCTGCACACCCAGAGGACTTAACTTGTAACTTAAAAGTAGGAATTCAAGCCTGGTTCCCCCCCTGCAAAAGGCTGATAGCACAAGAGCTGGGCTGCCTGGGGAAGCTGAGGTGTTGCCTTGGATGCACCCTCCAGTCTCTCGAAAGGCTGATTCCCGCGGTGCCCCTCGCTCTGGTCTCTGCAATGAGCCTGCACGATGCCACCTTCTGTGTAGGGTAGCACCGGAGTCGAGGGGCCTCTGTCTGCGGAAGGAGCAGGCCCACAGGATGGGAAGCTAGTGGTGGATTCAGGAATGGCCTTGTAGGAAGTCTTGGCTTTACAGACTTGGTTTTCCTGTTGGATTCCAGTAAAATGGCACAGCTGGCCAGATGCTCTTCTGAAGGGAGGAGCCGTGTTGGGGACAAGCAGAGACTGCAACTCAACCCCCCCCCCAAGAGGGAGGAGGCTGTCCTTCCAACAGCCACTTCTGCACAAGGCAAGGAGTCCCTGGCACTCTTCTAGATGCTGCTGTGTCCCATAAAGCTTAAGTTTATTTCAGCTGGAGAAGGTCCCCAGAAAGCAATGATAATTTAAAAGCTTCAATGCTTCAGGTAATTTTGTTCCGAACCCAGAGAGGAAGAAGAATTTCCAAATCTTACTTAAAAGTCTCTGTTGGTTACGTTGCCAGGATGCTAACAGCAATTTTCATCTGTGGCTTGACTTTTGTAAGTATACTTCAGATTCAGAAGCGAAGCCGTACATAGCTGAGCATGCATCTGTCCACAGACCCTTCTCAACCTCCCCCTTCCCTCTTTCCCTTCCAACGCTCAAGTCGGAGTTGCTCTGTTGACAACCGTAGGATGCAGGTTGCACAAAGTAACCCTGGGGTTCTTGGTTTTGTGTCCATTGGTGTTCTTACTTTGCCTTTCTGAAACAGAAACATGCAATGAATGTGAGAGATTAGAAAGGGTTTCTCTGCAGTTAACCCATAGGCTGACTTGGGAAGGTGGAAGATGGGGCTGAGCCTGGTTCTCTTTTAGTCTTGGTTATGGGCAGATTGTCTCTTTCCCAAGACATCTGGTTGGCTTATTATTTGAGAGTCTTTTGACTGACTGCAGATAAATGAATTTGCTGCTGTACTTTCTGTAAAAAGGCTGCATGATGTGGTCTATATGACTACAGACGCCTTTAAATTGTGTTTGTATTTTTTTTTTTTAAAAAGTGGGGGACTATTAAAATGAAGGTACATGGGCCAGTCCTCAGCTGGCATAAATCCATATAATTTGAACTTCAAAAATGTGACTGTCTTTGCATGTTGGAGCATGTCTGGATGAGGGAACAGGACTGTCTCATTTCTGTGCTGAGAAGAGGCAAACCCCCTGCCCCCCCCAACCCACAAAGAAACACATGCTGCTTTACTTATTTTACCTTGTTCCATTTGACCCAGGTTATCAGAAAGGCCATATGTTTTCATTCTTTGTATTCTGCCCCAGAACAATCATGGAGTTCCTCTCAGTTTTCCTCAGCTCCGAAGACATAATATCTGGCCTTAACAAATGGAAAAATACAATTAAAGTTGACAGCGGTCAGAACGCATGGCTGTGTTTTTAGCATTAGTATGCTGTGCATATGTACCCAACGTCCAAGCTGCACCCAAAGCAGCTTCCCCCTCTCCGGTTTGAAATTCCAAAACAGACACTGTCAAAATATTTGTGGCAGCATCCAAAAAAAGAGAGCTACAAAATGCAGCACTTGACACGGAGTCACAATGTAATGGAAGGACATAAACATCATTTTGTTGAGAGTAACCAGTATTTTCTGCCTAGCTGGAAGCAAGGGGGAGAGACTGGTGGGTGAATGTCACAGGGAAGTTAAAAATTCTGGCCTGAAGCAGTAAGTAGGAAATGAGACATTCTGAAGAACAACCCTAAGCTAGCTGCTGTGGACTGCCTCCAGCTTAATTTTTTGTTCGTTACTTATTACATATGATTTAAAGAAGTGTAATGCATCCTGTTTGGTTGTAATGGCTTAGTTAGCTCAGGCCTCCAGGACTTATGAAAGACAAACCTTTTGGAACACTTTTTAAAAATAGCTGCTGTTTAAGAAAGAAAAGCTGTAGTTCTGGGTTTTTTTTTAATGCAATATTTCAAAGTTATTTACAGAAAATAAATAGCTAATAGCTATTTATTTCAAATAATAATAATAGCTATTTACTTCAAATCTTTGATTTGAAAAATTTTTGAACTCAAAGTCCTGACTGATGTGGTGCAGACTTTATTTTGCCAGCTACTAATTTGTTTTCTTTTTAATCTAAATGTTGTCCGATTTTTGTTCAGCTCTTAATTCTTTTACAATGGAATGGTCAAACTTCTGCCTTGATGTTATTCTTTAATTCTCTGGCTGCTTCTCAACCCTGAGTGCAGAGATCTCCCTTGGTAGCAGTTTCCCATGTGAAGAGCAGCGTTCAGACCTGAGTCTGAGGCTCTAGGGCCCTTTTCAGCCCTTGCTATACAATACTGAAGATGGGTTTTTGTAATGTTAGAATCGCACTGTCCTTCCTAACTTACTTCACCCTAACCACAAAGTAGTCATCGTACAGCAGCAAGCTTTTGGTGGCTGTCAAACTAGCATCCTTACCATGAAAGATACCGTAATTTGAGGTTAGCTCATTCCCACACAGCTGCATTAAAGCTGCAGCTCCCATAGATACACGGGTAGATGTGTCTGCACAGGAATGCCAGGCTGGGATTGCGCAAAGCTTCCCAAATTAGATCCTGCCCTGGAAAGGGGTTGGGGATAGCATCAGAAAAGCTCCTGAGCACAATTGCTTTCATTGAGATGGCTGCCTCTGTATCTCTGCCAGGGCTGGAACAACTGCTGGGCCGTTCTGCTTCCCGGCAGCAGTCACGGCAAGTAGCGGGAGACTGGACGTCTTGTCTGTCTGTCCTCAAAGGGAGCTAGGGAAAGTAAGGAAAAATGATACGAAGGTGCTAATGCACTCCTCCTTGACCCTGGATTTTTGGGTATCATTTGTAACACCATTCTAGCCAGAGACAACTTCACACATTTTATAATGTCAGATGGAGTGGCAACGTACAGGCAATAAATTGATCAAGGTAGGCTCCTGCAGAATTTGCAGCCCAGCTTTCACAAGCCAGGCTGGATTCTCTCCTTACCGTTCAAAGCAGCATCAGACTGTAATTGTTTAACAAGGGCAAGTATTTGACCGTATGATGCTCCACTATCATTTGAGAACAGTTTTCTGTCCCTAAAACCAGTCCCAGTGGAAAGGCAAAAAGTTCTTGTCTTTGGGGTCATTTCAGCTGGAAGTAAGTTCCTTGCTCTTTGTGGAGGGATCATTCTGCAATGATTTGGGGAAGAAATCTACTTTTCCTGCCATAGGTCAGACCCAGGTCCATGTGCTGCTTAAGTTCATAGCACCACGATCAAGTCATTCATCAGCCTGTTCTGGTTCTTGGCACAAAATAGACGTTGCTTTGCGGGAGTAAACATACTAGCAGGAAAAAGAAAATGAAATGAAAACCTGAGCCTGTTTAGAACAATGTATGACAAACCACCAAGTCTTGTGCCAGTATGTTTACCTTGGCAGGCACCCCTCTCTCCCGCTGGAAGAACCAAGTTCTCTCTCTACTATGAGAATTCTTTTGTGGATGTTAAAAAAAGACAGAAAAGAAAAACAAAACAACCGCCCTGGAGCAGATCATTCATCATACGCAGAGTGGGAGCACGAAAGGGGATTTGCTTTGACCTAGTTACAAAAACAAAAACAAAGAGATTTTCTCTAATTGCCCAAATGACTCAAGTGGGACTGGGTGTCAAAAGCAACAAATCTGCTTCCTTCAGAGCTGTATGTTAATACAGGGCACCAGGCTCCAACCTGTTCCAGTTCAAGACCTTGGGAGATGTCTCTGAACCCAAGGAAGCCCGGGTAAGCAAAAGCCAGCCAATTCCATATGCCTGCATGTACAAACAGGACCAGGAGCCAGGACAAATATGTTTCATAAATTATGATAAAGACAGTGGCTTTAAATGCTGCGAGTATCAGGGCTTCAACGTTTGCTTTGCCAAGAGCTGCAGACAGGCGAGACTTTCTTGCTTTACCGTTCTGGTACTGCTGTAGTAAGGGCCCGGCTTTCTGTGCAGCAGCATTTGCAGGGCTGTCGTCCACTAAGCCTAACGTTTTATTTCGAAGGAGCCTGAGGGGGACTACGTATCCAAAATGCCGTAGGAGCAAGGTGCCCAGCTTTTCCAGGCACCAGTGAAAAGCCCAGCGTCAGTGCATTGCTATTGCAGGGTGTGGGGTAAAAAGAGCAAGAGCAAATACAGATAGGGCTGGGGAATAAGTGCTGGGAAGCAGGAGAAAAGGAAATGGAGGGAGATAAGGGGCATGAGTAGAAGCAAGGGTTTTATGTAGATATATGGGAGAAGAAAGTTAGTGAAAGAAAAGAGAAGGCCAGTCATCAGGTACAGAAAGCAGCCTGGAAAAATCAGCGTACAAGATCTCTGGGGCTGCCCAGTTACAGCCAGGCGAAAAATCATCCATTTGGCATCTCGTACAGTGTTTTTCCATGACAGTAGTAGTTGTCCAGCATACGTGTGAAAGTAGTAAAAGCTATTTCTGTTAGGAGCTATTGGGCTGGCCCTTCATTGGAAGTACATTGATTTAGCCAGCTGAGGACCTAGCCTGCAATTCTCATGCAGGGAGCGCTGGCAGTGTCCTCAGTGCTGCAGAGAAAGGGCCGAGCGGGAGGTTACAGAGACAGGACTTTTCTGAAACCCAAATAAAGTCCTGGTTCTATTCAGGTTTAGAGGGAAGGTTCACAAGAGTTTGTATTTTTTCCCCAGCTGGTTCACCATCTATTTTAGATGGAACTGTTTGATCTCTCTCTGCTTTGTGTTTCTTTCAGTTTCCCAAACAATAGGAGGAAGCTCGCCTGTTACGTGTGCTTGGGCCCCAACCAAGCTTTTCCCAGCTGGAAAAATCACTCCATGAACTACAGAGGGTTTTTTTTCCCAGCTGTAATTACAAGATTCCCAGTTCTCTTATGCATTTTTGTAAGGTAGGTACAGGCTGTCTAAGGGGAACAATGGGACATTCCTGAGTGCTTAAACAACTGCTGTTTCCCCACCATCACCCCCTCTAAAACCTGAGGAGGGCTTAAGCACACTTGAGCTGTTCCGCTCAAGGTTACTGAGACCTCAGCTGAAAAAACACAGGGAGGTGCGCAGCTCCATGTAATGTTCCTGCTTTGGTGAGTAAGATACCCAGGCTCTTCCTGTTACCTGATTATATACACAAACACCCTAAATTCACCAGACCAGCTGGGAGGACTTGGCAAGCGCACGGGGAGTATCTGTGCAAGGGGTAGCTGGCAGCACTGTCATCACCTCAGATATACTGTGTGGTGTGTGTCTAGCTCAGAGGCCAGGCTGTAACTAGCCTGGTAGACAAACTTGCCCAAGGGACCAGCATGGATCTCTTAATAGAAATAAGACCTCATGCTTGATCCAAATGTTCATCTACAGCAACAAGCCGGTCCCACCCGTGAGCACACGCTCAGCAAATTTCATCTCCCCTTCCTCTGACAGGAAACCTTCCAGCTGATCCTGACTGTCCCATCACACATCAGATGCAATAGGGGTTACTGTTCCACTGGATGAAAGGTGTGAAGGTGGACAGAGGAGAGCATTAACCGTGACTGTAATGCTTAGGAGGGAGCAGAAAGACAAATAATTAGGCTATAGAATGGCTCTGGCTAATTGTCAACATCCCCTTGCCCTGTTGGGGATAAGCACCGTCTTCTAGGGACCCTAATGTTTCCATTATTCTCATACAGGTAACATTATCCAGTTGGGATCTTGGAGCACCTAGGCGCTATGGAAGCAAATGGCTGTGCTGGCCAGGACCACCATATGCAATGGAGAGAAGGTAAGGAGGGGTCTTCTCCAGCCAGCAACAACCAGAGGTAAATCTCCCACCACCTCCTCCCAACACTAAGTGCAAATCTCCCACAGCTCTGCCTTACCTGTACAACTGTGGGCAGGACCTCTTCAGAGCAGCAGAGGACAGCCCCAGCTTGTTCTGGTTTCTCAGCCGTGTCTTCCTCATAAGATCTCTCATTCTCCCCCAAGCATGGCTCTCACCCTAGGGAGCAAAAAGAAACCACAACTTGAAGGACCAGAGGCTTGTTGCTGGCAGACCTCATCTGGCCAACATATGATACTTTGGGGTACTCCAGGGTGGTAGGAAGAGGGGAGCTTCTTTATTTCGGATAGATAAGAGTCAGGTCCCACAAAAGAATTTTTAACACCCTGCAATGATGCCCAGTGGCCAGCCTGTACCTGTATAGGACACAATGAGACAGGATGGGACAACTGCCAGTAACACCATCCTTTTTGTATTTTGTTTGGTAACATTTCCGTGTCTAGGACCCTGCTGTTCTTTCTGACTTAAGGTTTCAGAGTGAGGGCGCTTCACTGGTGAGTGCTGAGTAGCTGCCTAAAGGCACGTTTTACCTTATTGTTATACTGTACTAAAGGAAAAGATCGGTTTGGTTTCCTACCTACTCACATGCACCCAGGGGGGCCTTTACAACAAAAACAACCCAAATAAAACAGCTTGACTCCCTTCTCCTTTCTGTTAGGCCAGGTGCATTGGTATCAGCCCTTTTCAAGGTGGTGACTTTTGTGGACCATGAATTAGAAGAGATCAAGCCTTTGTCTCCCTGTCACCTCGCAAGCCACAGCTATTGGGCACTCCCATTTGAAATGCTAATAGAGATTATCAGGAGGCCAGGGAGTCTCATGAGGCCCTCCCTAATGTTTGTTCTCTGGGCTGAGCTCATCTGGACTCATGAACTGAAAAGGAGCCATGCATCAAAAAATTTCATGGTTTTTTGCTACATTGTTTTAAATTCCCTAAAGCAATGGCTGGAAAACCTTAGGAACAGCACAAAAAAGACCATGCCTCAGGACGAGCGTAATGGGGAGAAACGACTCCCATTTCAGTGAAGTTCTCAAACCATTGTCACGTTCAGGGCATTGTTCTGCCCTGTCCCGAGGTGCCTTCCCACTGTGCCACCAGCAGAGCCATTACTCCATGAGTCGGGGCCACCTTGGGAGCACAACCTGGCGGCTGCCCAGCCGCACGCACCAGCCCAGGCAGAGCCTATGGTGGCAATTCTGCTCGGGGCTCTGCTGTTTTCAGTTCAAAACTTCAGATGAGGGCATGGGCTCAGCTGAAAACTGCAATACCAGTTTCTGTGCTATTGAGTTAGTTGCCCGTAAGTGAGACTGTTTACTCATGGAAATAGCAAACCTTTGTGTTTACTACTAGGATTAATGTATGCTGTGGACGGGTTTTGGAGGCCTCAGCAGTTAGTCCCTCATTGTGCTGGTGGTGTCCCAGAAAAGCAAGCCCTGCTAATATCCCAGCAAGCCTGAGCCGTTGCCTGTTCCTGAAGGCTAGCTAGCTGTTGTCTGCAGTGGGGGTGGAGAACAACGGACCACATGCAGTAAGTCATAATACATGTGTGTCTGTTACTTTGGTAGTAGACTTCGGGGGGTCAGTGAACCTCTTTTGTTCATGTATAACGCTGTGTACTACAGGGGCTCGGTCCATGATAATGCGGGTACAAGTTATATTCTGCAAAGGCGGTACATACCGAGATGTTCTTGCTGACGTCCAGACCCTAAAAACAAAAGGCAAATACATTAATAACAAGACAGCAAGACCATCTCACAGTGCTGGGAACAGACTGGGCTCCGTTCTCAGCTCTGCCCTGGAGTCCACCCATAGGCTTGGTCACGTCCTTTATCTCTTTATGATTCAGTCCCTCACGTGTGCGATAATCTCTCTCTTTTGTATTTAGACTGCCAGTTCATGTGTATAGCACCTAGTAGCCTGGGGACTGGTGTAGCAGGATTCCCATACAGTACCCGCACTGTAGAAGTAAATGGGGCATTTCATGCTCAGGGTACAAAATGCAATACTAAGTGACAATACTAAGGCGTGGTGTAACAAAAGAGCACGAGGATTCAGTTTAAAGAGTGTGGATCTTGATTCTGCAGTCCTGTGAAGTCATCAGGGCTTCCCATGTGCTTAAAATAATGCTTATACTCCAGAAGCTGGCTGGACACAAGCCAGAGCATGGAGCACCTTTCAGGATTCAGCCTTGATTTGGTTTCTGAAATTCATCGAACTGTTCGCAACCTATTTGCAACTTTGGGGAGGAAATTTCATGAGAAGGTCTTTCCCGTGAGAGACCTACTCCTTCCTCTTTCCTGTTGGGCCGGGAATACTCTGATTAGAGCCTCTGCCCTGGCATTTCAGCACTTCTGATCCCCACCGGAACCTGAAAGTGCTGAGGCAGCCACAAACAGTGGGAAAGAAAGGGAGAGGAAAAGCATTCGGCCTGGCTCCCTTGGACTTCAGCGACACGTTTTCCCTGAAACACGCTTTGGGGACTGGAGCTAATTACACTGATAGGCTGCCAGTCTGGTAATAAGTGTTGCCAGCTAAGGATTGACCCACTAAAATTTTTATATGTGGTAATGAATGTGTGCTTGGTTTAATCTCGCTAGCAGCAGTAGCGAAGATACTTATGACAGAGTTCACGTGTTGAGTTACCTGGAATTAGCAAGGGCTAAAGCCCATGCTGCTGTCTGCAGTGCTCCTCTCCCCTGCACCAGTGCTCTGTTTGTGCCTTTCCTGGCATAAAGACATAGCCATTGTCTTCATTTAAGGCTGGGAGCAGAGAGGCACAGAGCACCCTGGCCCTCGCTGCCCCGGCCCCGTTCAGCAGCAGACAGGGTTGGCTTGTTCTCCCGGCACCCCACTCTGATCTGCCTGAGCAGAACTTCTCCCTGCTTCTCCCAACAGGTCCCACCTGGAGCCTAACTCCAAGCTTATCACTCACCTTTTTTACTGCAGGGTCCTTTGACGGAAAAGCCTGTCCCTCAGCCATACCACCAGCTTCTCTGTACTCATTCTCCTTGTTGTTCCTATTGTTTGACGACTTCCTGAGCCCCACCATCGGCTGGCTGTTTCCGGATTCCGGGTATCTCTCGCTTCCTGCAATGAAATGCAAGGACTTGCTCACGTTTCTCAGCAGTGTCCTGCTAGGACAGCCTCTGGGCAGTGCTGCCAGCAAGCTGCAACTCCAGATGGGATGAGAACCCTAAGGACTTAATGATGGGATGAGACCTCATGTGTCTTCATGCCACACTGCAGTGGAAAGAAGGTAAATGCTCTAATAAAGTGTCTGACCACGGCAGGACTGTCTAATGGCTTCCTCATGGTCTTATTTTCCTTCCAGGCCTGCTCTGAAACTGCCAGGAAAGAGCATTTCTGAGCCTCAGCACTAGAGATCCCAAAGGCCATTTACACTCTGACTCAATCCTGCTAGGAGGTGTGTTGATGTTCTGCGTTTCGCAGGTATTAGAGGCAGGCTGAAGTCCAAGGTTTGAAATAAGCTAATCAGCCTCGCTTAGTGGGCTGGTTCACATCTAACATTGGATCCAGACTTTTCAGCTGGCTTTATCATCAGTAGGCTGAGCCCAGTCTTTCTCAGCCTTCTGGAAAAGTTGGTCTCTGGATCCAAGCTTTACAGCTGGGGCTTATTTCCACTTGGTCTATAGAATAAGTCATCCTCCAGGAATGTGTTCTGTGCCTGCTTGAGAGGGTAGGAGACTAACAACAGGCATAAGGCTTTCCATCTTAGATCAAATCCTACCTTGGCTGGGGGGATTTTAAAGCCACATGGAGGGGCTCCACTAATGGACCCATTCAGGCATGCTAAGTTTCCAAAAGCGAGACCCATTTTATAACGCATTTGTCCTAATCTTTGTAGCCACAGCTGCAGAGCAAAAAGTCCTGCTTCACACGTGTGAAGCAGCGTTAAAATCCTAGGTGTAGACAAAGCATTTTAAAACGCATCTCTCAGCTTTCCAGCTAAGGTTTAGTTCCACTAACACCTTGCTCTGTTCCCATCTCTTTCCTAGGGAAAAGGAAGATGCTGGTCACCTTATTTCACCAACTGGTGGCAAGCAGGAGGGCAGGTTAGAGGTATTTGAACTCACCATTGCAGCTGCTCAGCTTTTCAGCGTTCGCTCCTATTTCTGGGATGATGGAAAGATCAGAAGGGTTTCCAGTCTGAACCAAGAGGCTGTGAGGTCTGCTCCTCCCAGCAAAAAACGTCTTCATGTCTTGGTACGAGTTGAGGAAGACACTGGCAGCTCCACAGGAGCAATGCTGCAGAAGGTACTCCTACACCAGACAAAAACAAAGTATGCAGACTCTCAGGCTGTAACGGCCCAAGGTAACCGGGCGGTGCAATGGTACAGGCAAATTGCAATCATTCCAGCCCAGGGATGCCCAGCCTTGTCTGGGTTCTGATGGGTCTCAGGACAAATTATTTAATTCTCTATATTACCAACTCCAGGCTGCTCAGCCTTTTAGATTTTTCATGGGTTCACTCGTGTTTAAATTGCCTGATACTCAGCATCTTTTGGGTTTGTTTCCCAGAAGGAATTGAATACAAGTTTCTAAACACAGAGCTGCTCAGCTAAGGCATTTGTGTAAATAAACAGATCTGTTATAACAGTGACTTGCATTTTAAGATAATGTTATTTGTTTTGGAATGTGCACAGACAACAGTATCTTGTATTTTTATTGATGGGATGCCATAGTTCGCTTGCATGTTACCAGTCAGATTCACTGTATGTGGTACTTCAGCTGGTGTACTTCTGCTGTAGCTGGTGTGGTGGGAAGGGGAGATTTTCTACCTTGCACAGCCATGTTGCACACGAGTTTAGTAAGGCAGGAAGCAAGGAGAGCTTTATCCAGCTGAAGTGGAAGGGGAACCAAACTGTGTATCGGTGGAACCAGGACAGGCCAACACCAGTTTAGCACCTCTGGAGACCCCCAAGCGATTGACAAGTTTTAATGTAACATCTTATCTGAATATGTTGCCACAGCAGCATGGCACTTTGCATTACCTACACCTTTGGGAGGTGCTTTGAAAACCTGATGAAATATGCTGCTTTTGACTCACGGCATTAAAGATTTCCTGTAAAGCAAAGGATGTGGAGTAACCGTGTTCCCTTTGTGTCCCAGGATCGAAATGTCATCAGTCTCTGTGGTGATGTCTGTACAGCTCTCAAGAACAGCACTGGGACCACTGGCTACCTACAATCCTCATGACCAGCTCTTAATACCACACTAAGCCATCTGCTCTGGGGGTTGTGTCTTCGCTAGCCGTGTCTGGGGCATGAAAACCTTTCCATGCTCATAGTCTGCATGGAGAGTGAACATGGTTTGGAAGGTAGCCTTAGGACGCCCTCCAAAATGCGATGTGGGCAGCAACCTCCACATCTCATGGCAAATGGGGTTAGTAGTGTTCCTCTTCTACACAGAGCGGCTGTGACTCTGCAGAGGAAAATGACGGAGAGCTGCTTAGATACAGGAGGTGCAGGCACCACAGAGATACCTGAGAGAGAGCACCCAGTTTTGTAGAGCACATTGCAAGATGCGATGTTACATCTGGGGGTCCAGTTCCCCACTGAACAGTATGGGACAAATGTGGCTGAGAAGGCACTGCTGAGAGATCTTGGAAAATACCAAGAAGATAAAAGTTTCAAATATTTAAATGAAAGCACGGTGCCTTTCATTTCAGTGGGAGCTGGGGAGGAGCGGGCACATACACCAGATGAAGATTTGACCCTGAATTTGCAGCTTGGAAGAGTTACTTTGAGCAATGACTCACAGTTGTAAAGCTTCAGGAAATGCATTAACAATTCCCAGGCTCTATGTAGGAGGCTGCATTCCTCTGAGCATGAGAGATGGGTACAGGGAAATGACGGGCTACTCTGCTCTGCAACCTGACTCACAACTTGGCTTCGGCTCTGAGAAGGAGTCAGTCACCTACTGCAGATCCCGTCGCAGCAGGTGGGAAAGGAGCACCGGGGGAGGAATGATGCTGTCGGGAGAATAAAAGACTTGCCACAGCATGGCTGGGAAGAAATAGCTGAGTGTGACAAACCCCTTCTGTTCCTTTGGGGAGTGATAAAATAAATAGAAAGGGAGGGGAGGAAAAAAGCTGGAAACCTGGTGTGATGGCCAAAGAAAAAGAACTGAGAGGCAGAGGTGGGGTAGAGCTGAACAAAATATGCAGGGGCTAAAAAGTGCTGTTTAGGAGAATGCTGAAATGACTTGCAAATTTCAGTCAAATTCCCCAGCTAGCTCTGGCTGATAAAAAAAGACAAATGGGAACACTGAGATGTTTCATGTCAGAGATTCTTCATTTGGCAGCTCAGAAGTGCAGGAAGGGAAAGAGAGCATGGAGTTGGGTTCACGGTACCGCTGCTTCTCTTTCCCGTTGTGTCTGTTTTGTGGGAAATTCTGGGATTTTGACAGTTTGAAACCAGAAGCAAAAGAAAGAGCTTTTAGTTCCAAACACAATTGCTAAGGACGTCCATGGAAATGTTTTGTTTTGATAGCATTGATGGGGGGAGATGTGTTCTTGGGAGTTTTCAACTGTAGAGAAGTAAAAGTTACTGACTTCAAGCTGGCCGTCACATGAGGTGAGAGGGATGATTTTTAACTCGACAGAAGCAAGCACATCTGGGAAACAAAATTGAGCAAGAACAGAAACCCAAGCCCACTGTAAGGGAACCTGAGCCCACTGTGGTGGGCGAGGGCTCCCTGAAGACCAGAGCACCCAGCCCAGGTGGGTGTGGGGTCAAGTAAATTAGCATCTTCCCTCACACAGACTTGGAACTTTCCATCTGGGCCTTGAGTATATCATTTAGTGGAAGATACTATGGTGTCTGCTTACCTCTTTTATCTGGCTCATCTTCTGCTCTTTCTGCAAGCTGCACACTTGCTTTTGGAGACGCAGGTTGTGCTCCTGCAGCTGCCCAATCTTCTCAATCAGTTGGCAAATGTGTTCCAGGTATCCCAGACCAGATCCCAGGGCTTTGCTGTTACCTTGGTTCACCTGCAATGACAACGCATCTTGGACCATGGAGTAACAGCAGAGCAATCCTTACTAGGAGCTGGGAGCCCAGCACGCTCCTTACAGTCGCGTGGGCCGTGGTAAAGATACTCAGGCTTCCTCTTGCAAGGGGCTTTGGTTATAGCCAGATCTGAGCTACAGCGTTGCTTGCTTACAGCTCTTTTCTGGATTACTCAGCAAGATGCTCCATCAGAGGGACTCTTCTGACTGATCACCGGCTGACACAGAGGAGAACCTCATGACAGCCTTTTTCTAGTTCCACCTCCCAGACTAATTTTTCTTTTACCGGCCACAGGACCCTTACAAACAAATAGAGTTCTACTGTGTGGTATAGATGGCTGGGGTTAGTATGGCTCACTTAGCCCACAGCCCTCAGTGCAAGTCACACTTATGGGTACCGAGGCTGAGCTTGGCCTCCACTCAAAGGCACGTATCTGCAGGTTGCAGTGATTTGCTGCTTTGTGACCAACTTGGGGGGACATTTTGTCTGCCTTTGGCAATCTGTAACCATTATGGCACAGCTGAACTCAGACCCTCATCACTGGTGGGTCAGTGAAAGGGACGTGTGCCTGAACCAAGCTGCCAAAGTGGAAGAACATCTTTCCACTGGTCTTTAGCAGAGCCCAGCTTACGTCCCTGCTGCTACTTTCTCAGTCATTAAGAGATGCCTGAAGAAAGTCTGCAGGATCAAGCTTGCTGTCTGGCTATGGCAGGATATTCTGTACCACTGATCTCTCCACACCCAGGATCTGCAGAGTCTCACTGCTGCTCAGCAAAGGGCAGTGCCGGCGACAGACAGTAATCCTGCGGCAGAGGAAAGGCAACGGTGCTTCCCAGCCTCCCACTCTGCACCTCACCATTTCTGGCCCCAGGACTTCCCCGTGCACAGCAAGTGTCCTCTCCCGTGCCGCAGCGGACTCTGCTGAACGTGCTGCTAACAAATACATGCAGAGGCTTCACTTCCACCTTGGCGCTGCCTGCTGATGTGCATGTGATATCAGTAAGTAAAATAAGCCTCGATCTTTACAAAAGCAGTGCTCTAAGTTTATCTAACTTCAAAAAATAAGTTCCTTCTACAAAAGCAGGAAGCTTACTCTGTCTCCTTTCCCACAACAATCTACATTTTTGGGGAAATGCCAGCCTTGGGACTCTTCCTGTCTTTTCATTATGTCAGAAAGCTCATGGTGTGTTCAAAAATAATCAACATTAGAATTTACTTCTTTTTAAACAAATGATGATACAATGTTATTTATAAACAGGTATTATTATGTCCAGATGCTTTTGTGTCTGAGGTTGGGACAGAGGTCGCATGAAATCATATAAAAAATGATAACTCCAAGCCAACCAGTCATTCACATTCATGATTTTTATTTTCCTTTCGGGCAGAGCCTGCAGAAGTGGTGGCAAGACAAAGGTTACTCAGCCATAAAACTTGAGTCCTTAGTGTGTCTGTGCAGTGGGAAGGGGCACAGCCCCAGGACCCACAGGGAGAACAAAGCCCACGTGGTGCCTGCTCGGAAAAGCTTGAATCGAACGCACTATAACCAACATATCTGAAAGTGGCTAGGAATTTCAGGGTGCCCAGCTTCAGAAGCATGATTTTCAGAAAGTACATGAGTATTAGCTTCTGAAAATCTGTGGGTTTTTTTTAAGCTGTCCCAAAATGGGTAGTCAAAAGTTCCTCATTCTCCTTGAAAATGTAGGCTTTCTGCCACTCTGTACTGTCTTTTTGCACGTTTAACAATTCCCCTTTCTGCCAGTTTGCTGTTGCAGTGACTGATGGCATGTCTGTATTGCCCTACGGAGACAGTGAGCCAAATCCAACCCCTTTTATAGGTGTAGAAACACAAGGGAAGACTACAAGGGACAGAGGAGCTCTTGGAAAAGAGGATGAAGTAAAACATTTGGCTGTAACCTCAGGATTGGGGAGAGAGCATGAAGCATTTGACTGTCACCTCTTTCAGGCAGGGACTCTCTTTTTGTTCCATGTTTGTCCAGTGCTTAATACTGTAAGGTCCTGCTTCGTGTCCGCGGCTGCTAGGTTTATAGGGCAAAAAGGGCAGGGGAGGAGAGGAGAAGGTGGCCCTGGTTTCCAGTGCTCTGTGCCTAGGGCTGAAGGCACTTGAAAGCAAAGGTGTGTTTTGGGCAGGCATGGAGAAAATCTGGCTTTTAGCAAAAGTTAGAGAGAACTTCCAACTCCTGAGAATAAATGCAGGTCCCCAGAAAATGAGAGGGAAAAGGTGTAGAGCAGTTGCTCCAGGTTTTGGGGCAAGGTGGATTTACCCCTGTAGGGGACCTAAACCAGACTGAAGGTTGGACTCAATATGCTGGAGGCCCCTATTTCACAGCCATCCTTCAGAGGCTGCTCAGGGCAGGCAGTTTGGGCTATTTAATAGGAAATTAATCTGCATTTTATTGAAGTGATCCCAGCAAGCGCGAATGAGCAAAAGGTAAATCAGGCAGAGCCTGCGGTGCCTGCCCATCCCTGCAGGGCCAGCCACCTCTGTGGGCAGCATGCAAGGGTAAAAGTTTTTAAGGGGGATGTTTCACCTTGCTTGCCCTGCCACAAAGTCCGTTAGCATCAGGATTGCTCAGATATGGCAGGCATTCAGTACAGAAAATTTGTGTAATTTAGCTGCTTTCCCCCAAAACAATTGCTCAGAGAGGGCCTCTCTAGGGACGCTTCCAGGACTTTCTTTTCCATAGACTGGAAATACCTAAACAGCCTTCACTATCTTCTGGTCATGCCAAGTGCAGCGTAGAACCTGCTCTGTTACATTCTGGTCTAAATATTTTCCTCTCAGTACCTGTGAGAGAGTTTTATGATAGCAGCGGAGGGTGAGCAACCATAGGAAAACTGCAAACATTTTCCAGGATGAGTCTCTTCCAGTCTCTGTCCTCCCGGTTGAAGCTTCCCAAAACTTCACCTAACGGGACTGAATTTTTTCCCATTCCACACATGGGGATTGTCAAATAGTATTTGAACAAAAGCCATGTGCCCATTTTTGAGTTGATGAAGGAAGAACATCTCACCTACTTTTTTGAAGGTGAAGATGCAGAGGATCAGGCAGACACAATTTATGAATCAGATGGTTAAATTTGTACTAGGAAAGTAACAACATAATGTATAAAGAGGTGCCGGATTTTGCTTTCAGGTATATCAGACCTAGCCAGACCCTCAGCTGGAAGAAAAGGAATCCAAGGCTCTCAGCTATACTATGCTGAGTTACTCCCATTACGGTTTTGACCCTGCAGAGTTACCCGTGTAACTAAAGAGAGATCTCTGCCCTTGTGAGTGCTCACCTGACTAAGTTTTGGGGACAGGTTTTCAGTACATTTATCCCTGCTCAGCTGGTAATAAACTGTCACAGTTGTGCTGGCCCACAGGTTTCTTAGGAAGCTTAAAAATACAGGATCAGCATCTGCACTGGGAACTTTGGCTTATTTAGGGCCCTTCAGTCAATATTTTGACTGGTGTAAAATCACATTTTTCCTCTGAAGCCACCAGGGTCGCAGAGGTGGGAGCCTGTCCCTCTGTCTCTGTGTACGTGTAACATCGTGCTCACTGCAGCATCTGAGCAGTACAAAGGTTTGAAGTTCAGTGGGAGCTGCAAGAAAGACGGTTGTTTTCAAGCCTCTTGTCCAATTGAGGTATAATCAAAATCTGCATTTCTGATCATCCAGTCAGCACTTTGTCCTGCCTCATTTCAGCCATTATCTGTTACTCTGATGCGCGCGATGGGCTTTTCTTCAATTGGGCTCTATGGAAAACTGTCCAGGGCTGGACCTGGCAGCAGGAGCCGAAGCTGATGGGCAGGACTAGCTTGCAGGCGAAGCTCTTCTTCATTCAGACAAGAGCTCGCTGATATTTCTTGCGGTGACTTAGGTTTCTGCGCTTCATGCAATGCTCTTCACTTTCTCTTGTGGATAGTTTTGAGTTATACCATGCTCCATCCTCCCATAAATCCCTCACTGCCCGCTCCCACCACATTAGCGTGGCCAGTACGGAGGCAGTATGGTCACTGCGCCAACAGCCAAGATACGTAATTACAAACCTCCCATCACGGGCTTGGAGCAACTGATTAGTGATGCCACAGGCTGAGTGGGAAGCATTTGTCACTGGAAGCTGACAGCACCAAAAGGCTTGTGAATAACAGGAAAGAGAGGGATCGTGCTGTATATTTCTGACGGCTCCACCCTGCTGTCCAGGAGGGGCTGCGCTTGCTGATAGCTTCTGGTTTCCTCTGAGCGGCACGCACAGGCTACGGGGCTGTCCATCACAGGTTGCCCGATCCTTCCCCTGAACCGTACCACTCTCTGCAGAGAAGTATTTTGCCTGCTTTGGCCCAGGATAATTAGCACTGTGTGAATAATGGTTTTTTTTCATTTAATGATGACAATGCTCCCACCCTCTCCTTCTAGGGGTATGGGCTGACTTTAGATGTAAACTTTATGGAGCGTGAGGAATTGTTTGCAAAGCAAAAGCATCAAAAGCTATGTATCTTCAAACTGACCCCAAACATTTAATTTGGTTTAAAAGGAAATGCTTTTATTTAGGCTTCAAAGTTCTTTCACTTGTTGTTTGACAGCTTCCACTTTCTTTCATCTTTCTAAATGTAGGCAAATTTCAAAATAACGACAGTTCAAAACAAAAGATCAGAAAGCTTTGTTTAAGAAACGCCAGACTGAAATGATTTGATGTATATTTTCAGCCAAAGCCATTCACCAAATGAATCCAAACGGTCAAAACATTTGGTCATTTCCAGTCTCTCTTTTTCAGCATTTTCCTTCCTGTTCTCTTGGAAGTGGCCTCAGCACTGAAGGAGGCCAGGAGGACACCAAGGCACATCCTCATCCAGCAAATGAATCCTTGCTCGGCTACGGTGTGCCGGCAAGCACAGTGCTGTTGGCATTGCCACAGCCAGCTGGGCTGGGGAATCTCACCTGCTCTCCTGTTACTTGAGAGTTACATTCCCAAAACCAGCAACAGAACTGAGGAAGTCGCTGTCACCTATAATTAAATAATGATCTCACCTGGCGTTAAATAGAGATGCAAGAGTGCTTATACTGGCTTATATCAACATGAACTTAATGCAGCAGGAATTGATTCAATGGAACAATTTGGTTTGCCATGTTCTTTGCCAAGCAGAGTGGGAATACCCTGTACTGGCCTGCTATCTTTCAGACAACATTGATTGCATTTCCAGGGGTATCTGAGTCCTTGAGACGACATCAGGCCAGACAAGAGATTGGCTCCTAAGTACCATGTTGTATTTTGGACAGGTTACAGGCAAATGTGAAAACCACAGAGTAAGCCTGGAGCAGAGCCTCAGCTGGGGTGAACCAAGTTGCACCCATTAGCTGTATGGGCAGATGATCATCTGGACATCATTTCTGAGTCGGTCTCACTCTGTCCTGCCTCTGTTGCATGACAGCGAGGACAGGTCAACCTTCTGCAGGTTTGGCGAGGGCAGAAGGCTCTGCAGCTGCAGGAGGCTGTCCCTGTGCTCTGAGGCACACAGCACAGCAGCAGCTGCAGGGCTGTGCAGCAGCCGTGGGCATTTCTTGCCCCAGTCATCTTGGGTGCTACCTGGCATCCCAGCAGGTTGAAGAGCGCTGCTCTTGAGATACAGCAGCCTGGAGGTGCTCTGTGAAGAGGGGCAAGCTTCCCCAGCATCTAGGTCACAGCTGTATTTATACAGCTCAAAAAACAAACAAAGAAAAGTGCTCTGGGGCACAGAGCTTTAGCACTCAGCCAGTGAGGATATTAAAAAGGAGGGGAGATAAGCCACCAAGAGCTTCATTTCCTCTGCAGCTTCTTCCTAATTTATTCTCTTGTTTATTTAAATGCTCTGCTTTGGGAAACGGAGGCTCCATTTCACAAAGGATTTAAAGGAATTTCACGGGCAGCCAGAGCTGTCAGACAAGACCAAGCTGGCTGCAAACCCTCCCGAGCGTGACAGAGAACTTAGGTAACTTTTTATAAAGTCCCCTTGTGGTCAAACTCTCCTGTTCTGGTCCTTTTTGAACTCTCTGCCAAAAGGCCAGGTCGCTGACTGTTTGGGAACTGTGCAAAATAGACATCTGTCTTCTGCCGTGTGTGAGACAGCTCTGGGGAGGAAGAGGCTGCTCAGCTCGATCGTGTGTTGCTTGTACTGCCTCGATATGCAATGTTAACAGAGATGGGCCATCTCTGACCTTCCTCGCTGCTTGGGAGGGTTTGGCATGCTGGAGAGGAAGGCCATCGCCTGATGGTTCAGGGCCTGAGCAGAGAGGTCATGGTGAAATTATATGCATAGCACACAGCACTTGTCACTTGGCTTCCTCCCACCCATCTCCCATTCCAATTCATCGCTATTACCGCAATGAATGCCCCAAAAAGAAATCCCCATTATGCACTGTTTGATGTTTTTGTTGTGTTTGTGTGACCCTCTTCACCTAGTCTGCCCTTCTCCTTTCCCTTTGCTCATGGGGCTCATTGGTCTCTCTGTCAGGAATCAGCTCCCCCGTTAGATCTTTCCTTTGCTGCTTCATGGAAGCCACCACAGCGGGCAGGCAAGGCAGCGGTCTGTCTGCGTGTCGGCAGCATGGGGCTTCAGGCAAAAGCACTGGGGTGAGTGCTTGCCAGCATCCACTATGGGAGAAGATGCACAGAAGGGCTTTTTATTCTCCTGTCAGTGGTACAGTGTACCCAGCAAGGGGGAAAAGAGGGAGTCCAGAGGGGGACAAGCTGCTGAAATTATGTCTTTGCGGTTTGGTCCATCACAGCTGTGCTGGCGGGTTAAAATGGGATCTCTGTCTCCAGCCCAGCAAAGATTTGAATTTGTGCATTAGCTCCTTGCTCACTCGTTATTTGAGAGAGCTGGCTCAAGAGGACAGGACAGGCCTGGACAGGAATGAACTACCCCTTAGACAAGTTCTTTCCAAATTTCAGCACCCCAACAACAGTCCAGCTGTTCCCAGGAACAGGAATAACCTGACCTTGAAAAAGAAACTATGTTCTGATCCCCGTCCCATGTATCAGAGGATGATGACTAACTTCACAATCTTCATTTTAAGACCAGAATCAAGTCCATCCTCTAATCTAGGGCTTTTTGAAACATCAGATCTCCATGAGCTGTTAGTCATCCTTACCCATACCCGATATGTGAATTACTTCAGAATTTCACTGCTATGAAAAGAGCTCTTAAAAATCAATTACCATGATTTGCTGCTTACAACAGTTTCAGGGGAGATTTTCTAACTCACTCAGTTCATGACAAACAATAGGACTTGAACCCTGACTGAGGTATTTGGACAGGCTTAGCTCTAAGATTCAGTTTCAGTGTTTCTTACCTCACTCAGTCTACAGCATTCATCCATGTATTCATCCAGACTGTCGCTTGTGGGGTACTTCTTCAGCTGATGTCCATGGATCTGAAGGTCTTGCATGCTGCCAAAGTTCTCTGGGAAATTGTCAGCAATTGTCTTTGGCTCTTCTATGGGACCTGGGGTGGGAAGAGTGCTTTCCCTGGGAAGGTCCGTCTCTGGAGTAGCTTCCTTTTCCAGCGATTGCCTTTTGCTCTGGTCAAAATGTTCATCGGGACTTTCTTCCTGAGGGACACTGAAGTCTTCAAGGGAAGCTGTAGGACCCTGCACAGCATCTGCCTCCTGGCTGTAGTACTCGGCTTGCTTTTCGCTCTCTGGATCTTGGTGGCTGACTTTTCTGGCATGCTCTTTACATGTTCTCATTATCAGATGGTCAATTTCTGGAGAAGAAGAAGTGCTAAGCACGCCTGAGTCACAAAATGAGTCTCTGCTGTGAAGCACAAAGCTCTTCTCTGAACCCGTCGGCGTTGACGGAGAATTAGCCCCGCTTGGCAATTCAACCCCCGAGTCCTCGGATTCAAATTTGGAGAATCTGTGAAGTCGGCACTTGGACTCGAAGGCGCTGAGGTCAGGCAGTGTGGCTACATAGTCTGTACTTGCCGGGGCATCTGCGTAGTCTGCATCTGCCAGTGCGGCTGCTGCATTCGGATTTCCCTGGCAGCCCGGTGGGAGGCTGGCACTGGGGAGATGGGACTCTTCTGTGCAGGCTGTGTCAGCTGGAGCCTCTGGGATTAAACCTGGGTTTTGAATTCCTTCATTGCTCAGTATCTTCATATGTGTTAGCACGACTTTGTCCTCAGCAGGTGGGCTCTTCTTACCTGCTTAAAAGAGAACAAGGAGAAGGTCACAAGAGGCTACAAAACTCAGTGTATAGTGCATCCCCTGAGGGATGTGAAATGTAAAACTTTCTATAGTAAGGTGGTAGAGGGGGGAAGCCCTAATTTGTTTTTCTTGAGCTATATGAAGCTTTCTTGTAGGCTTTGCTACAACAGAAGTGTTGTGTTTCATAGACCCAGAGTCCTTCAGGGGGAGTCACAAAAGCACACAGAGTTCTGATCTAGTAGATAGGTAGAAAACAACACATGTAGCCAGGTAACTTTTTAGTGATTACCTGCATACAGATGCAGAGAAGTACCTGTTCTTCAGCACGATAGACATTAAATTGAGGCTAAAATATTTCCTCTGATTATATGTATTCTGAACCAGCAGAAAAAAGGGTAAAATGAAATCCATCTTTCTGCAGACTTAAGTGAATTTGGGGTGGCAACAAGCAATTTGCAAACTGTTTGGCATTCTCTGCAGTATTCTCTGCACACATACAGGTGACGAAAAGCAAGTACTGATAGGAAAAGCAAACGAGGCACTGTAGATTTTTTTCACTCCTTGTATGGTTTTAGCTATGAAGTCATTTCTTTAAATGAACTCTTACCTTCTTTGTGAAGAGAAAGTATATGGAGGCAGCTTTGTTCATGAGCTTTTTGCACATGGACAAAGAAGACTTGTTTTCACATGACAATTATTTTACACGGTAATGTGGTAGAACAGTCTCTGGATGAAAGGTTTATCTACAGGAGTTGTAGAACTGCCCCCAGGTTTTCTTACTGTTTTTCTGAATCTAGTATTTCACAGTGCAGACTTCTGGTTCACACTGGGATGAGAGCCAGTGTGCATCCATCCTTTAGCTAACTGCAGGTCTCAGCTCCCAATCCATCTGTTCATGGATTTCGGACAAGGAATTGCTGCAGTACAAAACTTCAGTTTCTCTGGTATCTTTTTTTTTCCCTTATTAGTGCCTGACCCAGAGCACCTCAGAGGGCTACAATGCGTACACTTTTCAGGATATCTTACTTCCTACTTCATTTCCTTTCATTCCCCTCTCTTACTTCCTTCCTTTTTGCCTGACACCAAACCAGCAGCTGCTTCACAAACTCACTCCTGGTAATGTAACTATCCCTAAGTAGGCAGAGAAGCCTGGGACCCCTCACTAGCGGTAGAGTGGGGAGAGCTGTACTGTGCAGCCCTCCTTCATGGTAACCCAGAAAACTCCCTGTTTCAGAAATAACCTGTTTTCCAGCCTTCCCTCCTCCAGCTTGCTTTCTGCAATGTCCACAGGCAAGGGAAACTTTTACTCATTAAGGCCAAACTATCTATTATTACATGAATCATTTTCTATTTTATTTAAATTCCTTCTATTTGATCTTGAGAATTTCTTGGGATAGCATTGAAACATGCCCTTTACTGTCCATAGGCAGCCATAGATTTAATATTTTACACTGTTTTTTTCAAAAGGGCTGTCAGTGATAAATAATCCCATCTGATGGGCTTTTTGTGGCACTTGGGCACGTAGTGCTTATAGCCCCTTATAGAAGATCTTGTTTATCATATACAGAATTGCAGCTGCCTCCCTCGGCAGGATTCACAGCCGCCTCTCCACTGTAAAGAGCCACATTTGGGACAGTCGGTGCCAGACCGTCAGCGATGCAACACTAGTACATTGCTGTGGTGGGGGACAAGAGAAAGACATTGCCCACAGAAATGCCACAGGAAAGCTCATCAGGAGCTGCCTGTGCTGGGCTGGGTAACAGCTCTTCCACTCCTGGGATGCGCGTGATGGACCCTGGACTGAGGACAAGGAATAGGGAGCCTGGTTTGCAGCTTCACGCACAGCAAAACGCCACCTGTAAGAGGGAGCTCGGTGCCAGGTCTTGGAAGGAGGAGGTGGAGCTGGGTCATTGCTGATTTGGAGTGAAGAGGATCTACCTGCTCAGCTGCAAACACCTCTCAGCAGTGAGAGGCAAAGCGTTGTATCTGCATGAAAAATAGAAGGCTAACAGGCTCTTCTGATGGCATCACCACCCCAGATAGCACACCGCCACCACTAAGAGTCAGGAGGAGAGCAGTTGCATTGCTGCACTTTCTTTTTAAGAACAAATCATACAGCTGTCACTCTTACCAGGAATTACTATATGCAATGGTAGTCCCTTCCCACAGACTCTGATTGCCTTCACTTATTAATCATGCCATGCTTTCCTTTGATTGGAGATTCTCTCACTGTCTTTCAATCTGCCCCTTTTTTTCTTGCTTAACCAGTTTCACCCTGGCCTACACAAATATTTCTTTGTCTGAAATCAGGAAGCAGCATATTAAAATGAGGTCTTGCCACTTACAGAAGCAAATGTCAGATGTTTTAATTCATATTTTTTTTATGACTACAAAAGCTACAATGTGTACCAGAAAGCTGGACTGGGGTAGAAAAAAATTAAAAAGGAGATGAGATCTCTGACCCCCTGCGTGATGGTCCCCTCAATGCCAACAGCTCCAGTGCTGAGAAAGGTCTGTGCTGTGGATAATATGGTCCTTTGCTTTCCCCATCCTGTGGTCACTAGCAACATCGAATGGTTTCACAACAATTTCTTGTTTATCTGTTCTAGGCTGCAAACCATTGGTCTCAGCACTGGCAGGTCCTAGTAACCACAGTGTTTGAGCATTTCTGATTTATCCTCCCAACCCCTTGCGATGATGCAAAACGTTATCACCCGCTCTACCACAAGTTCAGAATGGATGCAAAGGATGGCAGGATTTTGCAACATACTTGGGCACCTCATTCTCATTCATTCAATGATACTTTCGCATGGTCAGTGAGGTCATCTGTGCTCATGATTAAGGCAGTGACCTGAAACTCCAGTTTTTCTTGCTGCACCTCAGTGAGGGAATAGTCTCTTCTTCCTCTCTGTTAACTGGGTTATGGAAACTAAACCATGGGGCTTCCAACGAGCAGATTGTTTCTGCTACAGATCTTGACAGAGGCATACAAAAACACTCAGCTCTTTCAAGCACATTGCCAACAAATACCAGAATGGTGCAATTAAAGCTCATCTGTGCAATTACAAATAAAAAAGAAAATTGAGCCATACCCTCAGCTGCTATAAATTAGCTCATTACCAGGGCCCCTAACAGAGTTGTGTCAGCTAATTCTGGCTGAGGACTTGGCCTGTAAGTGCTTTGTACAACAATACCAGGGGCCCAGAGCAAAGCAGGGAAGATGGACTCCTGCTTGGCGCTGGAGGGAGCGTGCTGCAGGGGTACGGTTACAATGCTGCGCAGAGGCTTCTGAAAGGAGGTGTGAAGAACTTCAGAGAGCTGAACGGTGGCATTAAGGTTGGTAAGATGTATTTACATGTGCTGGAGGCCACCCAGGTTTGACACTGCTGCTCCTGGGAAATCAGCCAAGATTTGTTGTTGTTTTTTGTTTCCTTTCCCCTGGATTGGTTTTCCACACCCTTTCTGGGGTGGAGGTAAAGTACCAAAAGATGCTGCTTTCAGACAGCTGGCTGGGACACTGGTACGGCAGCAGGGGAGGGAATGGAGTTGTGTGTGCATGCTTAGGAATCAGTATAGCTTCCTGCAGCATCTTTGGCAATGCGTGCCCAGGCCAAACATTGTCTCAGGTTAACTTGTGCTACTTGCTTAGTAGCCCTCCAAAGGGTTATGTGGCTCTGTAATCACACGAGAGATAAACAGGGTTCCCTGAGTTGTAATATAAGCCTGTAAGTGACGGTGACTGATTATGTGTAACCTTGGGCAAGTTGCTGGACTCCCTGTGCTTGTACAGTTGGAGAATAAGACTGCTTCCCATCTCATGGGGAGGTAGTAACAGTGAACTAGCTAATAACCGAAGGTAATTAGTAGGGAGTGAAAGGAATTGATGTGTCCCAGCTAAGTCTCTAGAACTTTGCTTTGCTTTGTTTCCAAATTGCTTTCTAGGATACTTCTCTGTTGGCAGTTAGCAAAGCCTAGCAGAGAAACTTAAATCTTTCAAAGGTGAATACCCTCCCACCGGCTGCTGTCCCAAAGCTTTCCTTTCCTTGGAGTTTTAAGTCCAAGTGTATTTTTCCTGTTGCACAATAACTAGCAGCTGCCAGGGCACAGCGTAGTGCATTAATATAGAGATTTCTGACCTGAGGAAGGAGGGCTGGTATCTAAACATGAAATTGCTTTCAAGCAGCTTCTTTATCCCAAGTTAAGTTGCATGCAAGAGATGCATTCAAACAACTGCCCAGGCAAAACTCCCAGCCATTCCCAGTCCTGCCCAGGCCCAATTCCTGCAAAAGCTCCCACCTTTCTAGTAAGCCAAGCCAAAGCCTGTATTCAAATCCCCATGCTCCAAAGCATTGAAATCCAGGTCCAGTTTTTTCTTTTTTGCATCTACATCTGTGGCTCACAGCCACGTTTCACTGGCTTCCTTCAGTGCAAGCCCCGTTAAGCTCTGCTACATCCCTGAGAGGGGTCCTTGGCCTCTGATGCACCAACTCAAGTGTCATAGCACATGGTCTTCCAATGCATCTGGCTAATGGAAGTACTGATGGTGGGAAGAGGCCAGGCTGGCAGTGGGATGAATGCTGCTAGTGGCAGTACAGAGCTCTACCATACAGTGCTGGCCTGTGCTGCTCTCCTCCCTTCTGGTTTGTGCCCACCCATCTTCTCAAAATGTCCATCCTGATTTGTAGGCTGCTTGGCATGGGGAGAATCTCTGTTAAACCTGCGCACAATGACTGGCACAGCTGGAGCCAAAGCTTTGCTTGTCTCCGTCTGCTGTTGTGTTACAAATAACAGCATTAGAGCCATGGCAGCCCTCTGCTTATCCCCAGAGCTGCTGCAAGGTTCATGTGCACGGTGAACCCATCCATGGCAGGTGGTGCTGGCAGGGTGGCAGTCCCAGGGAGAGGCACAAGGTGAGCAGTCTAGAGATGCTCAGAGTGCCTACTCCTCTCCCCACTACTGTCTACCACAAGACATGCAACACCCTCTAGATTTAAGTCCAGAAGACCAGTACTTTCCAACTGTAGTGTGCCACAAGAACAAAGCACCAGAAACAAAGGGCATCACCAATGACCTGGGTTTCTGGAGTAGCAGGGATTTTGCACAGCTGCCCTGCTAAGGAAGACCAAAGTCAAACCCCATCATTCCTACCAGTCTGCTTAGCCCTGAGCACAGGAGCGAGATACACATGCGAAGCCCCAGAAAAGGTTTTTCAGCATCCCATAGAAGACCCGCACAGCCCACTTAGTAACTCCTCTCTAGCTCCAGCTGTGCCAAGGATTAAATCCTGTGCCATACAGGACAGGGTCTGTGATGGGGCTGTGGCCTCCGAGTAACAGACTAAGAGATGATCATCAGCTTTTGAAGAATCATTAGGCAGCAGTGACTAGTGAGCTGGAGTCGAACTCCTGACCTAGAAATGAAAGGCTGCCTCTCCTATTCAGTCCTTGCATTCCCTCATTTTCCTTCCTTCCTTCCTTTACAAAGTCTCCCTTTAGTCCTCTCGCTGCGACACGTTCTCTAACGCCGCTGGCAGTACAGCTCAGGTGGTATTTCCCTTTCACTGCAGAGAGGGGATTTTTTTTTCTCACCAATGATGAGGTCTCGATTTCCCAGCATTTAAGAGAAAAGGGGTCACTTCCTTTCTGAAACAATAGGCATTTTTTGCTGCTGACTCTTCCCCCCACATGTGCTGAGGGGTGGGGCTGGGTGGTGGGGCTGTGCTGGCACCTCCTTCTCAGCACTAGCCCACCAGCTGGCCCCCACACAGAGCACACAGGAGCTGTGTTACTTTCCTAGCTGGGCAATGGCTGTCCCTTGCATAGCCCTGTGGGCACAGGGAGTCATTGCATGGACAGGACCCCAATACTTAGAAGAACTGGATTACTCTTACGCTGCCAAGAAACCCAAAACAAAGCAACCCAACAAACAAACAACCCCCACCCAAGAAAACCCAGCAACCGCTACCAATTGACCCTCTGGGAGGGAAATCTATCTCCACAGAGCTTTGCCATGGACTTCCATGGGGTGAGGATCTCCCCGCTTCCTGGTGCTTCACAGGCCTGTTGAAGACCTGATGCCAGTCCTGGCGATGGCAGGGGTGCTGCTTGACACCAAGTTTCCGCAGACAATCTGCCTTCCCAACGCCTTTCAAGCAAAGCTAGTCTGTGAGCATGCTGCTGTATCTTGGGCTACCCAATCTGAGCAAGGGCTTCTCCTAAACAATTAGGACAATCATGAGCCTAAGAATTTCTAAGGGGAGCATATGGAAAGGTCTTGTGTCTTCATTGCACCAGTTACAACCTCTATCTACAATGGCAGAAACTCGTGAAGGCTTGAAAATCACTGTCATAGAAATGGTTTTTATTGGAATTGTGACTGAAAAATTCACATTTGCAGAGGAACATACTCCCATGTGGTAACTGAATATTTGCATGATAGACCCAATTCTCAACATTTCAATTTATCCAACTGGGGAACTGAAATGCATGTGGATTTCATGGGAGTATATATACAATTTGATTTGCTTGAAATGTTGAATGCAAAGGAATAATTACAACAAAGATGAGATCTCGGACAGTCCTTGAACAAAAAGCACAAAGTTCTTGGATTGTTTGGTTCCAAGGTGTTCTCCAGTCTCACTATTAGTTAAGTGCGTGAAGTTCCTCCAGATGATAGTTTGGTAATATAATGTGACCAGAAATGTTATAGATCCCCTATAGCTGCAGCTGGTAATGATGAATCCATATAAAATATATGCTGAGAGAAAGATAACAGGGTTCAAGGACTCTGACTGAAGAGGCATTCATTGCTTTAATACATATATTTTTAGAAGAGGAGGAGATAATTATAGGTCTTTTCAGGCATTGGAGGAGGAATGAGAGGGAGATTGATTGTTTACTGATGGATATAGTTGGGTAAACTAAAGAGGAAATGGATTTCCAAGTAGAGAGGACACTTGACATTTTTACAGCTTGCTTCTATTCATTCCAAGTGACCTGTGAAGTTTTTGAAACAGAGCGACAGGTCTGATAGATTAGTGACCTCTGGCAGAAAGTCCCAGGGCACAGCAGGTCCCCACAGACCACCTGGTTTATCGGAGTTACTTGCATAGGCTGGCAGTCACCAGTTTTTAGACCAACACTTGACCTTGCACATAGTGCCAGCTTAAAGAGCCTCTCCCACTCGTTACTGCATTTACCCTGCAACTTATTTATTTGGATATATAGCTCAGTGGGAAAACCAGGCCAAGGATAATTTTGGTGCACAAGGATGTGTGCCCCAGTCCTCCCTACTCTGCAACGTAACCAGTCCTGGGGTAGGGGGGGAGGCTCAGCTCCCACAGTCACCTGTGGAGCTTATTTGTGAGACTTTGTCAGGGAGATGACAGCTCTCACTGAAGACCTGGAAATCCTTCTCCTTGGAAACTCCTGTGTGCTCCTTCAGGAGAAAGGTTCAAAACCTTAAATAAAGGAAATGGTGCTCTCATGAGCAGCCCTGTATAATAGCAAAAGATTATTTGGCACACAGCTCGCTAATGTGTCTGAGCAGAAAATGAAAACAATGGGAAAAAATATACCACACCTTGGCAAAAACTGTCTAATCTAGGAGATCTTTTCTTGCCCATCTGATTTGCAGGCTGCCTCATATTGCAAGGGAGTATTCAGGCAGAAACCAACTAGGAGACAGGAGGCCCTTTGCAAGGATGGAACTTGCCCCCCAGGGATGACAGGTATGTAGTAATTCAGGTTTTATTGCCTATAATAAGCTTGGATAAACAACTGTTCAATAGCCCCACAGACCAAAGCCTGTTAAGACCCCAGTGCTTCAACTGAAGCCAAAGAAACTCATGAATCATATCAGAAAGGTCACTGTTAACCCATTCTTCATGTGCAGTCATTGCTGTCCCTAGGCAAAACCCCAGAGAGCTGCTTCTGCTCAAACGAGGTAGCAGTGGGCAGGTGTAACCATACTCTTCGGTATGTCTGAAATCTTTCATGGTTGCAATAAGAGTGGTGACAATTTTTGAGTTTGTTGCTCTCGCTGGAGCCACACAAGGACCTTGGTGAGATTACAAGAAGGAGGAGGAGGTGGTGATGCAGGGCTCTGTAGCTGCAGTAAACTGAACTTGCTGATACAAGAGGTCCTGCCACCCTGATACTTCTGCTCTGAGAGCCCCCCCAAGGAGTGGGGGAAGATCCAGCCTATACCTGTTATTGAGCTGCCAATTGAGCTGCCACTCTTCTTTTTTTTTTTTTTTTTTTTTTTTTTTTTTTTTTTTTTTTTTTTTTTTTTTTTTTTTTTTTTTTTTAAAGATTTGTTCGGTTTATATTCTCTATCTTAAACTGCATTTGGAGATGCAACTTTAAAGTCCCTGCTGCAAAGCTTGCAAGAAACAGCATATTCTTGGCTCTTTCTGAGTAGAGATGGGGGGGTCCAAACCAGGACACAAATAATATTTGGTGCCTCTTTCCAGCCAAGGTGATTAGGGAGCGTGGTCCCTGTTTCTTATTTGGAGAAATTCTAGCTGAATCTCTTTGTGATTCCTCAGTGCTCTGTGTGATAAGTCTGTTCCCCCACCAAAGCTTCCACCTACCCTTACGACAATACTGCTGTGTCTGGGTGAGGAGGGACACTTCCATGTGGAAGAGCAAGCTTCCTTTCCCCTCCGAACCCTGCCATCAGGCTTGCACTATATAGCTTGGGGGAAACAAGTCCATGGTCAAATTACATCCAGGGAAAAAAAGAGCAGTTTCTACCATACTGTAAAATGGCATCTCTTCAAACAGTCTCCACATCTTGTGGTGATGCTGGAGTGCTCTCACAGCAGCACTGCTCTAGAGCCCTTTGTGTCATTGGGTAAAAATGCAGTTTCCAGACCAAACCCAGGCAGAGCAACGTGCTTTGGCAGCCCTTGCTAGCACAGTGCCCAGCAGTTACCTGCTAGGCCACCTCAGAGAGGCTCCAGCTCACACTGAGCTCTGAGTAGCTGCCCCAGAGCAGGAGCGCTGGGAAGCACAATCCCAGCAGTGGGTGCCTGAGCAGATGCCCACGAACATGGCAGCTCTGGTGACTCCACAGGAGCTGCCTGCACTGCAGCAGTCCAAGGGGGCAGGAGTTCAGCATGCAGATGGGAAGTCAGGACCCCGGGAGGTATAACCGCTCCAACACAGTGTTTTGCAACATCTTTACCATCCTGCTGTTGCACAGCATGCTACGCTTAGACTCTGGCAAACCCTGTCTGTAGCCACCTCCGTGCCGAGCAAACCAACCCAGTGCAGTGACGTTAATGGAGACAGAAGCTGGAGATCTCATTCACAGCTAGCACAAGCCAAGATGAAGGACAAACAGGGATGCTAAGGAGATTCTGCTACCTGGGGCTTGTGATCTCAAAGCCTGCAGCACTGGCTAAGGAATAAAACATACCAGACCCATTGTGCCTGAAAAAGGCAGTCTGAGACTGCGTCATTGATTTTGACAACAGACTTACAAAATGACAAGTGATCTGCTGTAGGTCCATAGCTGCCTTCCCTGCCTGGGTCACCTCATCCGCACAGAGCAGGAAGGAGCAAATAAAACCTCTCAAACTCGGGATAATCTCTGTTGGATGGGGATGCACCAGCCTAGAAAGCCGTCCGATATCCACTGCCAGTGCGGTGACGGGCTGAGGGCAGACCCGACCTGCCTCACCTCAGTGCAAAACCCGAGCGGTACCGGCGGGACATGTGCGCGCAGCCGCTCAGATGCCGATCCCGTTTTCACCCTCGCCGTTCCCATCCGAAGCCCTTCGCCCTCCTTCCCGCACAGACCGCTCGGGAGCACCGCCCCCCCCGCCGTTCTCTCCCTAGCCATTCCACGCTTACAAATGCAAAATAAACCCGTTTTAAGAGGAAGACAAGTCGGTTCCTAAAGCGCGATCCTTCCCCCCGCCGGCCCCGGGGCAGGAGCTGAGCGGCCGGAGGCTGAAGCGGAGGGGGTCTTACCGCAGCCTTACCTGCGTGGGGGCAGAGGCAGCCGGAGAGCAGGGAGCGCAGCATGGGGCCGGGGCCGGGGCCGGGGCGGCAGCGGTGCGGTGCGGGCAGCCCG